AGTATTTACCATATTTTATGTTAATTACAGCACTGGATAAGTAATTATAGGGCAAAAACGAGTGGACGGATATCAGGAAAAGTAGGAAAAAGCAGATTAATGAGAAAAAGATCTGGCTTTAATGTATTTGCCAGTGAGAACCTATTCAAAGGTAACGTTTTAAAATATAGTAAATTGGAAATACCTGCTCATTTATTATGTAATAATTAAATCTATGCAAAACCATCCATAATATTCCATGTAAGTTGTGTAGTTACAGTACTTTTTCAGAATTCTTTATTGTATAATTTAATACTTTATCTCTTATTTTGTAGAAAGCAGTGGATCTTCCTCTAATGCCTTCAAAAACATTGGTGGACAAATGGAGAACCCTTTCAGATGAACAAAAAGACACCTTTAGAAGAAAAGCATTGGAATCAGATAAAGATGTTTGCCTTCCTTCCAACAATGCCAAGGCTAAAAAAATAATAAACAATATGATGAAAGAGGTACAGTAAATCGTACGATAAAATGTAGCGTCGTGTCTCTATTGTTATGTAATTACTTATTTCATTTCACAAATTTATTTATATTGAAACCTTCATTATCCTATACAGCTAAGGGGTTTTCCTACCAAAAACGTAAACCTTAAACAACTTAGAGCGTGCAAAAAGCAATGGGTTATTATTTAGCATATGTACACTCCGAAAACTAGTCTTGTATTTTGTAACAAACCACCCCTATATACGCAATACCCAGTGGCGTAGCCAGCCCGAAGATTTTGTCCCGCTATGTAAATTTCGAGTTATTATAATTGTAGGTTTGAAACGTACACGTAGTCTGGAATATCGATATGTTGCCATTTCCATGCCCAGAGAGTCTACAATAATTATTCATTTCTTTAGAAATATATTGTTTTTACAGTCAATGAACACCAAAATACTGACTTACTGTGCCTAACCAGCTTACTAAATATAGCTTAATACTAAATATAGCTTACTAACCAACTAAACAACCATATATACATACATACATACAGGCTAATTCGCTGAATAGCTAACTAAGTACTGTAAATAACTACCCTTTATTCTCTATCAGCTGGTTGTTATAATTGTACAGTACGGTACAAGACGTTTCGTAGTGTAGAGACTTTATTATATTTCCCTCACATACAATATACATGTATGTTTTGATGTTTATGTTAAAGGTTCAAGAATTGGAAGCTTTAGGAGGCCACTGTTTATTGATCTGCGGCTTTGAAGGCCATGTTTTCCATGGCTCAACAGATGTCGGCAATAAGATGTTGAATGATAGCGAAAACGATTTGGTACATCACTTCGCCAATTTGCTGCAGTAAGTTTCGGATACAAATATAGTTGGATCTAAAGCAGAGATGGGTCCAGCGCGATTTGGTAGGGGGAGTTTGATAAAAATATTTGAAAATGAGATGATATTGTATTGCTTCGCTTGTACCTCTCCTGCACCCCCTTTGGCCTAAGTAATAATATTTACTATTGAATGTTATGATTAACTAAACGTTAAGTAAACTTGACTGTATAGGTTCTCAGGATGGAAAGGAGAATATTTCCGTAAAAGCTATTCAAGAACTTTTTAATAAAAAATACGGTGAGCACAAGTTATGTATTGAAAGTTGTAGTTTGAGTACAGGCAGCGTAGTTGGCATAGTCACTGTATATACTGTGATGTCTGTGCATGAGCATAAAGAGTTTGTTATACAGTGTATACAGGGTGTATAAAAAAAAGGAGACCTTTATTTATTGTATGTAATGGTAAAGTTTCAGATACATTGCTTGATTTTAATAGGTGAAGTTGTGAAAAAGAAAAACGGGAAAATGCCATATTCGAAAATTCAAGAATATGGTATTGCTTTTATCGGACTTCCAGCTCATCTGGAGATAGATATTGGAACTACACCACGAAAGCCTGCTCTGTACGGTTCGGCTCAGCGTCGTGAATTGTGGCAGTCTAGAAATGCTTGGTCATTAACTATTACTTCATCAAGTAATCTTATTTCCAATGCTCACACTGATGCCGGTCATTCTGCTCTCCAATCTATTTCTGATCCTGTTGTCTCTAACTGTACATTCAACGCTTCAACTTCCAATCCTCCTACTTCTACTGCCTTACATTCTACTTTTTTGTCTACACCTTCGACTTCCCATCCTCTTACTTCCAGTCCTGCTGTCTCTAGCTCCCCCAGTTCTAGTTCTTCCCTGCCTACTCCTTCAACATCCAATCCTCGCATTTCTATTGCCTCTGTTAATGTCCCTAATTCTAGCTCTTCTGTTTCAAAACCTTCTGCTTTCAATCCTCTTACCTCTAGTTGTCTTACATCTACTTCTTCTCCTCTTTTGTCGGACACATCCAATGTTTCTTTGCCTGTTAATTCCAGTCCTGTTATGGCCGTATCAAGTCCCGCAACCCTCGCTTCTTTGCAGGAAATTCACAAAACAAAAGCTATCAGAGTACCAAAAGGTGTATATTAATTCCTGTTTAAATTTCGAATTATGTACAAGTGCCAATGTCTTTTAGTAATTTGAAACATTGCATATAGTACGAGTACGGTAACTATGTTTCTCATATATTGCATAATTTTAGACATGTTGTTTGGTCTGATGGCGAAGAATAGTAATGATGTACAGGCTATAGCAGTAGTATCGGGACAAACTCGCGTCCACGGGCGAAACGTGGGAGTTGGAAATGTTGTTGTCGAAATTCGCCGCATTATTCAACCTGGGTTGCTTCCTTTTTGTCCTGGTGCATTTGATACGGACGAATGTGTCGTCGTAGGTGCTTTTTACGAGTGGCCCTGTAACAGATTAGCTCTTCTGCATGCGCAGTAACCCTTAACTAGTTAATACGTGGGCATGGCATTGATATTATAAATTTCTTCTCAGTAGTTTAGTTTCTTTATGTTAAAAAAACGAAAAATATGTATCTTGTCAATATGCATTTTTCTGAATAAAAATATTTGAGGTACGATTTACAGTATTTAGTATTCTAGAGAACAGTTTTATGCACCTAAAATGTTACACATTCAACCTCTGATATGATCTTATATTCATTGTTGTCTTATTAACCAATGATGATTTTTTTGATTCAGGAACGTAAACTGCGTCAGGTTGACTTGTGTTGGTTCGACTCCAACTCGCAGTGAATTACCTCCCCATTTCAAACTTAGAACTTATGCTCTTTGATTACGATGACAACAACAGTAGTGTATAGGGGCTGTTTACATGAGCCCGGTTACCCGAGATTCAACGAAGCGTGAGAGGACTCTGAGGTATTGAAATAAGACTTTATGAATTACGACACCAAACAAGCACATGCTATTGTTGTGGTGATTATACGACTGCCAGGAACATGTTATCTGCTCATTTCAATACCTCGAAGTCATCTCACGCTTCGTTGAATCGCGGGTAAACGGGCTCATGTAAACAGCCCCTTAGTATATGGTTAACTAATCAAGATCTGTTTGAATTCAATGCTTGAATAAGTAGATGTCTGGCTCCAGGGGGTGGTTGTTCAAAAGCCGGTTAACTTAATCCTGGGTTAAAGCACAGTTATAAAATATACATGGTTTGGAGACTATGTTGAGGTAGATTTATGGAAAAAATTGTTCTTTTCTCATCACATGTCTATTGTATTTTGCAACAGATAAACCAATAGCAATCTTGTTATTAACATATCTTTCAAGTCAAGGTTGAGGAGCTTTCTTAGCTATTCTATCAACTGTGGTTAAAGCAAATCTCTACATAAATTTTTATAATCGCTTGTTTACAAAATTGAATATCTTTTTTCATAAATATTGTCTGGACCGATAGAAGTCATATTTTACCAAGTTTTAAAACGAACAGTGGTTCAAAAAAAGAGTAAAACAATGAGTTAAAATTTAACCCAGGGTTATTAATATTATAGGTTTGAACAGGCCCCTGGACTCTGATGGAGACTTCACAAAAGCTACAGCGGTTTTGGACAACAGTGAAGAACTTGGTGAAATTAGCTGAAACTTTGCAATGTTGAGTCTTTTATCGATATAAACTCATGGCCGAAATATTTAATCAAAATATGGAAACGTTCTTATTGAAATACATTTCCCGACTTCATCGGCGGTACCAGTATATAACTACATACTAAGGCTTCACAAAAGCTACAGCATTTTTGGAAAACAATTAAGAACTTGTGAAATTAGCTGAAACTTTGCAATATTGAGTCTTTTATCGATATTAACTCATGGCCGAAATATTTAATCAAAATATGGAAACGTTCTTATTGAAATACATTTCCCGACTTCATGGGCGGTAGCAGTATAACTACATTACTAAGGCTTCACAAAAGCTACAGCGTTTTTGAAAAACAATGAAGAACTTGGTGAAATTAGCTGAAACTTTGCAATGTTGAGTCTTTTATCGATATTAACTCATGGCCGAAATATTTAATCAAAATATGGAAACGTTCTTATTGAAATACATTTCCCGACTTCATGGGCGGTACCAGTATATAACTACATACTAAGGCTTCACAAAAGCTACAGCATTTTTGGAAAACAATTAAGAACTTGGTGAAATTAGCTGAAACTTTGCAATGTTGAGTCTTTTATCGATATTAACTCATGGCCGAAATATTAAATCAAAATATAGAAACGTTCTTATTGAAATACATTTCCCGACTTCATGGGCGGCGGTACCAGTATATAAACTACATACTAAGGCTTCACAAAAGCTACAGCATTTTTTAAAAACAATTAAGAACTTGGTGAAATTAGCTGAAACTTTGCAATGTTGAGTCTTTTATCGATATTAACTCATGGCCGAAATATTAAATCAAAATATGGAAACGTTCTTATTGAAAACATTTCCCGACTTCATGGGCGGTACCAGTATATAACTACATACTAAGGCTTCACAAAAGCTACAGCGGTTTTGGACAACAGTGAAGAACTTGGTGAAATTAGCTGAGACTTTACAACGTTAAGTCTTTTATCGATATGAAAATTATGAAAATTTTATGAAAATTGTCTGGTGATTAAGAATAAAGTTTCTTCAAGCCAATACTACATTTTCATTATTATCTTTACAAACAACAAAACCATTAAGGTATAGACAACAAGTATAAAGGATTTCCAAATAAATGCTACCTAGTACTGTATATACGTTTGTTTATATACAATGTACTGTTTACCTTAGGGCATGCAGGGCATTGACTAACATTATCCAACTGCACATTTTTCCCACCAAATGTATCCAGCATGTAGCTAAGGTAACGGTATTCTCCAAAATTTTCACCAACAAGTAGCCGATATATGTCCTTTACCTAAAAAATTAGATTAAATTCACCTAAATGCTATGTGTCTAACTGTTTTTTATTCTATTGGAAGTAAGTTGCAGACACTAATAATTAGACCCTACAATGTACTAGTATTGTCTTTAGTAATTATTATACTGTATATGCAATTAATACATACTAATGAATTAGAAGTTTGGCTTTGCAAATTCAGTCATAAAAGGGGAAGCCTTTGGAAGTAATGAGGTTGGGTTAAAATACTCACATAAACTGGTGAAAGAGAAGGCATAATCCAGTATATTGCCTGACATATCGACTTTAAAGATGTTCGGCATTCCAAGAAGATATATTTGACCAATTCCATAAGATTTTTTTCAAATGCTGCTTGTGGTTCCTTGGGTGATGAAGGCCACAAACCATATTTCATTAATGTCACTGCTTCTGGCTCATGGCAACAGAATTTAAACTTCACAAGACGCTGTTGACCTAAACAAAATTCGTTGAAAAGAACACACAATTTATTTATTCAAAACAGACTCTCTCTTTTAATGGTCAGCCAGTTGATAGCCACTAGACCAATGTGTAAAAAAATAAATGACAAAACAGAGTATGAATAACATCCTGAGCAATCCAAGATATGGATTAACATAATACTACTTACATGAGTTTGTGATGTTTCAATTTTATTATCAGATAGATTGTAATAAACTGCAAATGTCGCAAACTTGTGTTTATAGTCTTAATTGTTTTAATCCATATCTTTCATCTAAACGTCGCAAACTTGTGTTTATAGCCTTAATTGTTTTAATCCAGATTTCTCAGGATTTTATTTTTCAGACTCAGTTTTCTTTTATTTTCCAAAAAATACAATTGGACACATTATCAGTCAATGTATTAAATATCAATATAAAGCCATAGTAATTGCTTATTTAATTCATAGGAAAAAATGGAATCTTAGAAGTAGTCATGTTGGCAGGTAAAGAGACAGAGTATGGTAAGGAAATTGACACAGAATTTACACAATAATACAAAATTCATAAATGTATAATTGTAAGTGTGCTCATGTGATAAAAGAAAACACCTGACAATCAACGTTACAATATAATACCATAAACATACCATTTCTATTAACGACGACAACATCACGAGTATAACCATGATCTAAATTGTGATTTGTCTCCCAAACAACAACTTCTTTAAATTTGTATTGAATATACTTTTCAATCTACAATGCAACATACTCTCATCACATGACTTCATATACACAGTACATACATCCTGTCATCATATATGACTTCAATACTATTACACTAAGGTTGCAGTATAAAAGAATCATTGAAATAAGCTCCTCAAAAAGCCCACATGACCTCTGCCAAAATGAGAGACCGTAACTTATAAATATTACACCCAACACAGCTATATTACCTCCCAAATCTCAGGATAGTGGAAAGACTGACCAGAGGCATGAACAAGGTTTATATGTTCCTCACACATAAAATGTGCTGGGCCACAGTCAAGGCATCTACCACATGCACTTTCTTTGCACTCAGGAATTACACAACCTTGGTTGACAGGCATAGCTTGATGCTCCAGAAAAGCAGAGAAGAGTTGTTGTCGAATACCAAGCCAAGCATTCCCCAACTTAATCTTTCTATCGCGATAAGCCTTAATTTTCTTCTTCAAACGCATTTTACCACGCTTTGGTTTGAAGCTTGGCCCAACAATTTCATCTCCACCAAAGCTGACTTCTGGCTGCCCACATGCTGAAGTTTCAGGTAGAGAAGAGGACGTATATTTGTGAACATTAGTTCTTTCTGAATACTTTATGGGTACACTGAGCTTTGATCTCCGATTGACTTTCCCGTCTTTAAAGCTTACCACTTTAACAGTGTGTTTTGCTTTAAAACATCTTCGAGACGACATGGCTTTCTCAATTCATTGTTTATTTCAAATATTTTAAAAGTTGGATTTTAAACGATTTAAAACTATGGATTTTAAAAAGTTAGTCACCCAGTGAACTGGCGCCATATTTAATTCGCCAAAGCTGTTGTGTACTTGTGTCCAGGCTTTGATCTTAGGTACTCCGACAGTTGGTTTGGTTAGGTGTCTGATACCTACTATCACCGCATATATGCGCCAATTACGTTTCAATTTGATATGTTAATAAGCGTATAATTACGTGTGCATCGGGTGTAGGATCTGCTGCCTTGCTCGCTCGCTTCAGGCTCGCTCGCTGCGGCAGCAATTATCATTTCGACTATTCAGCGTGAATAAAAATGTCAATCAAGGTGTCGATATTGGTGTCCGATTTCACTTGATTAGAAAATACTTTGATACTAGTGGTGGGCGATACTGGGATTTTATGATTCGATACGATATCGATATTTTTTTATCGATATTTTCGATACGATACCGATATCGATACTGGCACTTTTCACCTAATTTATGCAGATCGTGGTCTTCCCACTGTCAGTGGGTCTTCCTCGCAGTTCTCCTGTTCGCGGGTTCCCAGTCGATCTCAATCGGTGGGCAGCGTGAAGAACACTGAAGAATGCTTCATAGGTCCATAATACTCCATGTAATCCTCACGTAACCTAATATCGAAATCATCGATACTGAAAAATAGTATCGATACCAACAACCAAATTCTTAGTATCGGAAGTATCGATATTTTAAAGAAATATCGCCCACCACTATTTGATACGGCTTCCATTATCGAAGCGATTGGCAAAGCAAATAAGTCTGTTGGTTACTCGGAACTGAAAGAGTATCAGCAGAACACTGTTCAGGCATATCTTTCTAACAGAGATGTCTTCGTTTCAGCGCCCACACTGAGCTAGGAAAAGCCTTGCATTGGAGTTAGCACCATACGCTTTCGAGCATTTATTAGGAAATTGATTGAACACATTGTCATAGTAATATGACCGTTTTGGCGCGAAGACGCAAATAGAAACCTTGCAAGTTTGACAAGTCGACTCTTCCGCGCGTTCCCTTCCCTCGCTTTCGCGACCTCGCTACGCTCGGTCGCTCAAGCTCGCGTGCATCTCTATGCTCGCGTGTGGGTTAGGGTTAGGGTTAGGGTCTAACCCAGTACCCTGCACGATTAGGAAATAGCTAATTATTACTCCATGTTGATATTTGATAAATTGCCGAAAAATTTCTCCCGTTCAAATTATTATCAAGCATATTTGGGCTGCGTATGATCCACCCCTGTCAGCGTTGCCGAGTTCGAGATTTTATTCCGAGATCTCGGGATTTTTTAAAGCAGATGGGATTCTTTTGAAATATTTGAAATATGGATTCCGAGTTTTACTCTCACAAGCAATGTGCAAAGGTCCAAAACATTCTTCTTCAACACGTGCATGAAAAAAAAATATTCATTTTGACAACAAGTGTGAAAATAAGCCATAACACAAGAACGTTGCTGCCAACTGTGGCCTGGTAGCCTCGTTTTAGTGTTAAGACTTATTTCCACATTTATTGGTCAAAATTAAAAATATTTTTTGATGCCTGTGTTGAAGCAGGGTGTTTTGCACCTTTGCAGGTGGCTCGTGAGAGTAAATATTGAAATCCATCCCAGTTAAGAAGGTTCTAAATTTAAAACGATAATGTTGTGACATAATTATCGAAAGGGTCTATTGGCATTCCACTTTTAAAATAGTCTAGGCAGAACTGAATATATGAATGTAAATATTTTGTTTGTAAGAAAACCTTGCCAATTCTTTTTGGCTTCTTTGTTAAAGTAAATCGCTCCTTAACTGGCTTAACATGGCGAAATTACAACTCAAAGTTACTTGATAATTGACTACCATCATGCATTGCTAAGGCTAGCCTCAAAAGCTGAAAGGGGAATGGTCTATTCTACCATCCACTCTCGTCTTATATGGCATCGCCTTGTTGGCTAGCGAGCTCATGGTATAATTGTTAAATATAGCATTATTTATATATAACCAGGGAGCAACGTAGCAGCGTCTTCAAACAACTTAGCATCAAATGTGGTATAACAACTGCCTATAATAAACAAAACACTTCTCGACGTTTCGACCTGAGGGCCTTCGTCAGGAGAGTTAGTCTTTCTAACTCTCCTGACGAAGGCCCTCAGGTCGAAACGTACGCCTCGGAGTCTGGGCGCGTATATTGAGGCGAAATCTTGATTTTTGTCATTCATTCTGGCGAAAACCATATATGGTATGCGTTCAGCGTTCTATATATTATGGAAGTTAATAATATGACGCGCCGAATATTTCTATATGCTAATAATTAGTTTATTCACATATGATATTAACTTATTCACATTTTCAATTATTTTATTCACACTTGAATTTATTTATTCGCACTTCATAATTATTTTATTCACACTCTATAATATTTTATTCGCACTTTGCAAATTAATTTATTCACACTTTGCAAATTAATTTACTCGCACTTTATAATTATTTTATCCGCACTTTATAATTTTTTATTCGCATTTGATAATTGACTACCATCATGCATTGCTAAGGCTAGCCTCAAAAGCTGAAAGGGGAATGGTCTATTCGACCATCCACTCTCGTCTTATATGGCATCGCCTTGTTGGCTAGCGAGCTCATGGTATAATTGTTAAATATAGCATTATTTATATATAACCAGGGAGCAACGTAGCAGCGTCTTCAAACAACTTAGCATCAAATGTGGTATAACAACTGCCTATAATAAACAAAACACTTCTCGACGTTTCGACCTGAGGGCCTTCGTCAGGAGAGTTAGTCTTTCTAACTCTCCTGACGAAGGCCCTCAGGTCGAAACGTTGAGAAATGTTTTGTCTATTTTAGGCAGTTGTTATACTACATTTGATGCTAAATAGCATTCTTTAAATTATAAAATAGTTGAATCTAGTTTTAATGTGGAATATATTATTCATGAAATATTAAAAAATGCCTGTTAGACTTGTGAATAATAAGTGCCAAAAAATACCAACCAATACCAATCTATTTTTAAATTCAAAAAATGTGTAATGTGAATTTAAACATGACAAAAATACACTTCTCCTCTATTTGTACCACATGCAATTAGGCCATAACCAATTACTGGATGCCATACTACCACATTAGCTTTTAGGTTTGATGTGTTCTCATCTATAGGCATACTAAATTTTAATGTAGCTGCTGGTAACTCTGTTGAAAAGTTAGTTTTCTTATATAGTTTAAAAATGTATGCCATAGGCATAGTCGTTGTGCTTTCTTGTTCATCTTGAAACAAGGACACCCTGTTTTCCCATGCTAGTCCAACTAAAAGGTGACAACTCAGAGGTGAGAAGCTCACACATAAAGAATTATGGTCAACTACTGTAGAGTATAAACAATGACCAATGCTATCCTTTTGCAAGGAAAATACACATACCATACACAATTCTGTATTGTTTTCCAATTTAACAACTAAGGCACTCAAGAATTGCCCATCTGCTGATATATCAGCTCCTAAATCATTAAACAATTTGCAGTTGTGTACTATCACATTCAAATTCCTTTGTCTAATATTTGGAATTTTAATCTCAGTAACATCCCACCACTGTAACCTAACTAAATGCCCATTTTGGTTTAGTGTGCCAGTTTTCCTTCTACTGTGTTTAGGTACACCTTCTGTGATAACATGTTTAACAGTTGCTCTCATATTCTGCCTTTCAATATGCACAACAGAAGTTCTAATAGTCTGTGACATCTCTCTGACTTGACAATCCACTTTATCCCTTACACCATTACTAACAAGAGGACTAGTGTCATGTATGCCAGTTAATATGTGACTTCCAAATGCATCAAATTTAACAAGTCTGATTTTTTCATGTACCGATGCTGATTCTGCTATTGCAAATGGTTCATTCTGGTGCCAAGCCCAAAACAGTAGCTGGTTTCCTGTAGCAATTAATAGTACCATATCAGTTGGATGAAAAGCAAGTGATGTAACGCTGAAGCAACTACGCGAACTAATCAATTTATTTTCTCTTTCTTTCAAGTCCCAAACATTCACGATTCCTTTCAAGCAACCCGACGCAAGCAAATGTGGATATGAGGGGTGAAACACAACACACCAAGGAGAACGGGGATGGCCTTTTAGAGTATGCAGACAGCAACCAGATTTGACCTCGCAAATTCGGACGGTGTGGTCTCCATGGCCCGACGCAACGGTTTCTCCATCAGGACTGAAAGCCATAAAAAACGTGCTCACAGCAGACTGTTGAAACTTGCAAGGAGTAGCCCGACGAGTGTAAGTTGTTTGGTATACGCCATATAACAGAATTGTGCGCTGTTCTTTATAGGAGAGACAATTCTGTCGCCGCTTTAACAAACACCAAGTAATATTTGATTCATAGGAACAACTAGGAGACTCTGAAGTATACATTTATAAAGTTCATACACATATTTTCTTTAAATTTTATTTGAGATTTTATTTGTAAATTGTAAGCGCACTAACGATCGATGAGAATTGTGGGATAAATTATATGTAAAAATAGTTCAAATAATTAAAATTATAGATCTGAACGTAGCGGCCTCGTGGCCTAATGGATAAGGCGTCTGACTTCGGATCAGAAGATTGCAGGTTCGAATCCTGCCGGGGTCGATTTTTCTTCTTCCTACCCAGTGAAGACGGACCGAACGTATTCGGTTAATAAGGGATTTATTATATGGCATACAGTATTTAGTTTATTGCTGGCGAGCGCGGCGAGCTAGCACACTAATCTAGAGATTGGCCGCGCACGCCTCGGAGTCTGGGCACGTATATTGAGGCGAAATCTTGATTTTTGTCATTCATTCTGGCGAAAACCGGGGTAGGTAATTCTCGAGTTAAGCCCTTCGAGTTAAGCCCTTTTCGAGTTAAGCCCCTGCCACGCCTTTTTTTGCCGGGGGCTTAACTCGATGAAGTTAAGACTGTTTTTGCTATCCGAGTTAAGCCCTCGAGTAAAAATGGGCTTAACTCAAAGTCAACTTGACGAATTAGTTTCTCGAGTAAAGCCCCGACATTTGAGTGATGGCAGCGAGTGTACAATAATAAAGTCGCCAATTAATAAATTCTAAATAAACTAAACTTTAATTCTAAATAAAAAAACACTGCTTCTTGTTTTTACTAACTCGTCTAAATTCACAAAATT